TAGGTGTAAATTTATCTTATTTTTTTATCTAGTCAAAAGTATCTAGTTTTAAGAAAGTTAATCTTAAAATAAGATATATTTTCTTAAAACAAGAAAATGATTCATCTAGAAATATTTTCTTATTTAGAATTTTTTTCTCGCTATTCTCCCTAGTAAAAATTTTCTTGTTTTGAGAAATATTTTCTTAAAACAAGTTATATTTTCTTAATTTAAGATTTAATTTCTTATTTTTTAAGAAAAGTTTTCTATAAAAAAATTTCTTATTTTAAGAAAAAGTGCACTAGAAAAATGTTTCATTATTTTCTTGAAATGAGATATATTTTTCTTATAACAAGAAAATGTTTTTTCTTATTTTAAGAAATATTTTAAGAAATATTTTCTCAGTTAGAAAATATTTCTCGCTATTCTCCACAGTAAAAATATTCTTGTTTTAAGAAAATAATTCTTGAAATAAGAAAACGATTTTTTGCTGTGTGAAGGGGTTGGCTGTTCGCAAAGTGCTGTTTCGAAGCATATCCACGGGAAGATGACTGAGAGAGCAAAGTGTGGCAGGAAAAGGTGCACTACGACGAGGGATGAAGATTTTGAAGGAAAACCGGTTCAAGAACTTGGCTAAGCTTCACAATGAGTGGGAAAGGCTCGTGTCAGTGCGTCAAGAACCACCATGCACACACAGGCGTGTTCGAGCGAAGGGATACAACTGTCGAATTCGACGTTGGAGCCATTATTGAACTATAGTCGACGTCAAATGCGCCTTTTCTGGGGCCGACTTGTACTGAGTGCAGAAAATGAAACTTGTGTGAAAATAAAAAGTGCAACACCTTTGATGAGTTATTGTATGATAATACTTAGCGATCAACTTCTTTATTTTGATGTATTGTAGTGTATGATGTTTAAACGGAAAATCTTCAGATTATTAATTTTACATGTAGCTAATGATTTAACTGAAAATAAATGTGTCACTTTTTTAATCTGACAAGATTGTGACTTGAATGATACTGGACTTATGATAAACCTGGTTTCTAACTTATTCCACATCATCATTTAATTTAAAGCTTTGTGTAAATGAATGTAAAAACATGTCCAACACTATAACATAGCCAAATTGTTCAAACGTGAAAACAGGGTTTGCTCAGAAAATGGATAGTCCCTCTAACATGCGAACATTCTCCAGGCTATTTGAACCGATTAACTATTGCTGGAACATTGGAATTCAACGACACACTAATTTTCTGAGATGCACATGTATTCGCTGAATTTATGATAAACCTGGTTTCTAACTTATTCCATATCATCATTTAATTGCAAGCTTTGTGCAATGAATGTAAAACATATTCAACACTATAACATAGCCAAATTGGTCAAACGTGATAACAAGGTTTCCTCAGAAAACGGCTATTCACTCTAATATGTGAACATTCTGCGGGCTATTTGAGCCGATTAGCTATTGCTAGAAGATAGTTACAAATTAAAGTCTCTAAAAAAATCGAATCATTGACATGCTAAACGTAAAGGGTTACATAGTAACCAGGAACACCAGGAAGTTTCATTTCTGTCCTAGGTTTTCATGTGAAATCTGATAAGAAAAGTTTTAGTTAAAAACCTTAAGAGTTTTTAGGACTAAAAGCCCAGCATCAGGATAAATATGGTGAATAGCCGCTGGCTTAAATACTGTTTGTATGCAAATACGTAACAATGAAATTAAATAAGTAAAACAACTATGAATACATTATAATAGCCTTAATGATGGTTTAAAATTCTAATGAACATTGTCAATCAACACTTTGTGAACCTCAGGCAAGATTTTGCCGTCAGAACAAACCTTTAAATTGCCGCTCTATGTTGTCATGCCATCACCACTGATCTCTTGTGCTGAACTAGATTATGGGATAAAAATATCTGTCCGAATGTGTTGCCTTTCTATAAACAACCGTTATTATGGATCCGTCCGGTTCGACAACATTAACTATGTCCAAAAATGGTAAACCCATGTCCTTATAGCGATCGATAGTAAACTGTATATATACCTGTTACGTGCGTTTATATGCTTATGGAAATCAGCAATGTGTGATTTCTTATAGCCGCAATTGTGTCGTCAACAAATCCGATCCGTGATAGACTCTCGGACATTGTGAGTAAGTATTTAGCGCATTACTCTCCAGATATCGATCTTTCATCACCAGATTGGCCATCTTCCATCACCATTCAAATGTGAGAAATGTTAAAGGGGAAAAATCAGCGTTGGTAAATCATGTAAGTACAAATGATCACCGTATTGCGTGGGAAGACACAAATGGCATATGTAAAGAGAGCAAGTGGTCAAAGTGGAGGTATGGGTGATTGAGCAGCAGAACAATGCCATTGCTAATATAATAGAGACAATGGCAGAACATTGCCTGAGGTTTAAAAAGTCTTCATTGACAATGATCATTATTAAGCTTATTATAATGTATTCATAGTTGTTTTACATATTGAATTTCATTGTTACGTATTGGCACATACAAACAGTATTTAAGCAAGCAACTATTCACCATATTTATCCTGATGATGGACGTTTATTCCCGAAGCTCGTTTTAAAAAAACCTTTTAACGTTTTTAACTAAAACTTTTCTTATCCGAGTTCTCATAAAAACCTAACACAGAAATGCTAAACGTTGTCTACATAGCTATTTTTGTAGGCGATCGTCACTTTTCAAGGGTTATTAAACAATTAGACAACGAGATTGAGTTGTCTTATTGTTTTCGTATGCACTCCTACTCAAAATACAAATTCCAGATACAATTTGAAAGATTTAATTAAATATAATTAAAAAACACGCACGAGCATTTTGAATGATTTCTTTCAACATTCGCATGCTTCGCTTGTGACTTTTTGTTTACTTTTCGCAAACAACCCGACGAAACGTTTTTTAATAATACACAGATCCTGCACTTTGAAAATATTTTAACAGGCCAAAATATAGTCATGATATTAAGCAAAGTACAAGCGAAGTTTTGATAATTACAATATCGATGAAATAAATGACAAAATAGCCATAAAAAAACAATGCTATGAACTGAAATGCATAGATAAAACTTAATATTGAAATTTTATCAAAAAACTTGGAAGCTATAAGAAAAGTTTTTTTTGGCGGGAAATGCCGAAGCACACAAAAAAGACAATTTAAAGCGGAGAAAAGCCTTAATTAAAATGTTACTGTTGTAAATATAAAATCACATTTTACACAAAGAAACACTTACAAGACGAAGAAAATATATGATTAAGTTCTTCAAGTAGCTGCAAAATCATTGATTTTGCTTGTAATATGCACAAACGATGTGCTCAGTAATTCCGCCTGTCTTCGTGTCACATTTTTGGCAAGTAACCGCAGATTTACTATTAAAATACGGTTCAAAATTGTGCGTCCAGCCATTAAACGTTTTCGGATCAAATATTATGGTCTTCTTTGTTTTCGAGGAAAGTATATTTGCCAAAATTCCTTCAAATCCTTTGCAAAACAAAAATTTTCCGCAATCTTTTTTCTCAACCATCTTTTTTCTCAACCATGTATTGTTCTATGGTTGAGTAGCCAATCAGAATGCTGGATTTGTAATAGGCCATGATTGAGTTTATGCTAATGTAGTGTAGCGATCCCCAAAGAGAAACTATAAAGGACGCACTACAATGTTCAAGTAGGCTATGATATACTGCCACGTACAAAGGGAGATTATATTGCCATATTTTAGGAGGATAAACGTTTTGTAATAACAATGGAAAAATTTGATGTCGTGTCAACGGTGAACGGGGATAACAGCCATATTTATACTAACTGATGGCTCTAGTTACAAGTATTGTTCTAAATTGGAGTCGCCGGTTACCGTCGCCGTTTACGAATGTAATGTCCCGTTTACCATTCGTCTATCAAACAACGATAAAGATTATATTTGGCTAACCGTCATATAAAAATTTCGAGTTAAGTTATGAGCTTCCAAAGCTCGTTTGAGGTTTATAAACTATAGAGCAGATGACGTCATCTTTTGATACAAAATAGCTATAAATAGCAAGACTTTTTAGAACTTTTTAGACATTTTGACTTTGTGCAATGACATTTTAAGTCCGTTTGTCGGCTAATATATATCACACATTAAATCTTTTGCCCGTCTGTTCAAAGGTCATCTTTCTATTCATCATGTGTACGCGTGCAAATGTAACGACATAAAATGTAATAGCCAATAAGAATATTATCTTCATAATCAATGAAAAACCATCAATAAAAACCTGCAAAATGTGATACAATTGATAAAGCCTGCTCGAAAGAGTTCAATTTGTTTCAAAGTTTCAACCAGATGCAAGTGTAATTTTACAAAACTGGCGAAACATTTTACCAACTCAACTACCCTGTCTGGTCAGATGGGATGCACTAACCATAAAACATAAGTCTGTCCTAAAGCTAACAGTACTATACATACCCCGCAGGAAAATAACATAAGGCTATAGCGAGTCTCTTTGAACGAATATAGTCCAACATACATTTTATAAAAGTTTATATAAAGTACTCCAATCTGACCGCATGACCCATTCTCACATAGAAAAAAATAAAAATTGCTTTCTAATTGAATTCTTAGTTGCTACCCAAAGAGCAACTGAACAATCGAAAACGACAAATATTTAAGGCAAAATTTATGCCAGACTTTAGTGTTCAATACAAATTAATAGAGTACTGGGCAATAGTGCGCTTTCAGAGGTATTATACTACATTTGGTGATATCGATTTAAAAACAACATATCAAGAAATTCAATCCCAAAGTGAATGTCAGTCCGACCACAATTGATGCCGAATAATTATACCAATCAATCAAATAGTGGAGTGTTTGCTTCCCCTACTACTCCCGATAATCACGATAACGGCTATGATTATTGGCGGGAAATGTGATCCAAATCTTAGAGATGAATTTTCACATTACGATTATTAAAATTGGTTTAGTAGAACCAATGTTATGGCTATTCTAAAATCAAGTTATTTTCATGTTATTTTCATGCGACAATTTGAGAGTTATTCAAGTTTTCAAGTTATTTTCATGCGACAATTTGAGAGTTTATGGATAAGAGGGAATTTAGTTTTAAGAGCATTTTAAAACGTTTTGCGGAGCGTTGTGGTTGAATTTTAGAATTGAAAATCCTGCACTTATATTACGCAAAATAGCATACCTAACATAGATTTTTAGGAAATTGATAATTTTGTAATTAAAAGTGACAGTTTTAGAGTTTTTTAATTTTCAAAAAATTCTTAAGAAAATTGTCGTGTTACCTATGACAACTGCCTCAAATACTTCATGTTCGGAAAATATACTGACTTTGCCGACAAGGCGAGGGATTTCTGCATGCGCGTATTCCTAGTAGGTTTGATGACCCCTTATTTTTGAGAACCATGCCGCATCATTTGGTTCTACTAGATCAATTAATTTCATGCAGTGTCAGTATGTTATTTCCCGCATGCTGGTGTCCGAAATATGGTCGCGGCAATCTAGATTATGCAAACAATTTTACTTGAGCTAATATCAGTTAAGACTTTCATTGACATTTTATTGACTTATATTATGCTATTGTCTTAACTCAGTATTTAAATTAAGGCACTTTTAATATCTACTGACATGTATATTTTAATAAGTACATAAGCAAGTGTATTTTATCGCAGAATTTTATAGTCAAATGTTTAAAGAAACTGTCACTAATTCGAATATCAGTAAAGTGTATGTATATAATTCAAATGTGTACAATAAAGATTATATGTGAACAATGTATAATTATGCTTTAGCTACTACTTACCTTGGAATACAAAACGATCTCAATTAAGCACACTGCTCAGGCACCTGAAAAATAAACAATATTTTGAAAATCTTGTTTCTACAAAAGATAAATTACCTAATTTAAAAACAATTGCCGTTTTGCGACCGGGCTTGCCGCGCGGTTTGGATACCTATAGGTGTTTTGATTCTCTTACGAGTATGAGCCGGACAAGCAGAAAATTAATTCTACTTGATCAAGGCTGGGAATCGAACCCGCGCCCTTCGCATTTGTAGAACGACGCTCTCCATTCTGAACTAAAAGGTCAAAATCACAAATAAAATACATATCGTTTCCAAATTGACCTTGTAGCTCAGAAGGTAGAGCGTCGTTCTAGAAATGCGAAGGTCGCGGGTTCGATTCCCAGCCTGGTCAAGTAGAATTAACTTTCTGCTTGACCGGCTCATACTCGTAAGAAGATCAAAACATCTACATATTACATAACGAGTGAAATCTCGGGAAGGAAATCATATACAACATTTGCTGGATTAATAGCTGGCACAAGGCATGGAAAGGAAGAAATTCGTTCATGTCATTAACATCACAAATAAAATACATATCGTTCCCAACTTGACCTTGTAGCTCAGAACGTAGAGCGTCGTTCTAGAAATGCGAAGGTCGCGGATTCGATTCCCGGCCGTGGTCAGGTAGAATTAATTTTCTGCTTGCCCGACTCATACTCGTAAGAAGATCAAAATACCTCCACATTACATCACAAGTAGAATCTCGGATAGTAGAATATGTATAGGTTATTTTGAGGCAACGAGGGGATATGTGATTTATTCACTGAGGCGCGCAGCGCCGAGGTGAATAAACACATATCCTCGAGGTGCCTCAAAATAACGTACTTATTTTTCACATTGCGAGGTTGCGTTCATGAGACAGAATAGAAATAATTCTTAATGCCATATTGCCTTCGTTATGTTGTTTTTTTTTCTCTTTTGTGCTGCAAAGACATTGCAGGTGAATATTAGAGGGGATTATTAATTGCAGGTGAATATTAGAGGGGATTATTAAACGGAAATTGATTAGTGTGGAATATTGAATATATTCCCCGATAAGAACAAAGGAAACCGAGCAGGGTGAAAAATAAATATATATATATATATATATATATATATATATATATATATATATATATATATATATATATATATATATATATATATATATATATATATATAGGTAATAGCATGGTTTCGAGTGCAATTTGGATATAACATGCACGAGTGAGTTTTTTAAAGACCTCAAAATAGCACGAGTCCGAAGGACGAGTGCTATTTGAGGTCTTTGAAAAACTCACGAGTGCATGTTTATCCAAATTTCACGAGAAACCATGCTATTACTTATTAATAATTTACGTAAAAATGTTCGAGACAATTGTAGTTTTAACTTACGTGTTTATAGCGAACATTCCACTGGCAACGTTTTCCTGGCTTTGTTATATCACATTATACAATGCTAACAGCTTGAAAATTCCACTCAACTATGTAATTTTTGTTAGTCTTTTTAAGGTAAATGCTTTTCCATTTAAAAATAAAGATAAAAGCCATATTTTCCATGCGAAGGCAACTTTTACTTTGTGTAGCACAGCGCCATGTTTGTTTTGTTTTGAAGCAATCTTTAAACTATTGGTTGATTTAATCATCACACTGTTTTTCCACCAATCAGATCAGTTTGTTACAGATTTTTGCACTGTAATCACAGAAAATTGCACTGTGATGATAGAAAATTGCACCGCTGTTTGGGATTAACTGCAGTGAAATCAACCAATCACAGTCGAGTAAATATCTTTATGTATATTATAAGTTTAACAGCAAGTTAGGAACCTTGGGGACAAAACCTTAACCGTTTTATAGCCATAATTAATTATATTAAGTATATTAATATACTGTACCATTATAGACATGTTATTTAAGATTTCTACCTTTGTTGCTTATAGTGCCTGATCTTGTAGGACTTTGTAGGGGCCCATGTCTTTGGCTTCCTTCAGTTTCCAATCCTGTGATGAGAAGTTGAAGTTAAATAATTTGCGAGTTGTTACAAACAAGGAAACAGTTAAAATAATGCTTTTCATCTGAATATTGTTGCAAGCAAACAGGTGGGAAATTTGTCGTTGCTGACCAAAAAATCGCGGGCAGAAACAAAGCTTGTTGCATTTACATTCAAAACAAAGCAGAAAGTTAGCAAGAAGCTGTTTTAGCTGACAATTTTTTGCTTTCCATTCAACGATTTACAAATTAACGGTTATTCTTTTAAAAGTTGACTATGAATTCTTTGTTTTGGGATGATTTGTTTTGTAATCGAGTGATTGGAAGAAGTTAATATGGCAATGTGAACATGGGAGTAAATACCGTATACGTCGATCTGTGGCTTGTTTAAACCATAATAAACGAAGAAAGACGTGATATGAGAATGAAATGTAAGTTGAAATAACTTTATATGCCTCAAATTTTCCATCCTATGTTTTTTAATGTAACTTCAGCTGTCTAAGTTCAAAATACAAGCTCGCAAAATTTCACAAATTTTGAAAATATGTAAAAATACCTTGACTTTGAACTGAAATCAAAAATAGCCTGTGGCCTCAGTTTCAAATATAGCTAAATAAAAAGAAAAAACTTTTCGGCATTTGTAGGTATCAAACATATCGTCAGGAAAATAGGGGCTCACAATGTTTTAGCTGAGTCTTTGAGACCCAGTTGCTTCGCACATGTTGTGGTCAAATTTTTGCCAAGAATCAAAGGCCGAGATGTGAACTTCCTTCATGAAAACCGGCTCGAGAAGGGTCTAGTTTGAAAATTTAGCTATTAATTTCGATTTCATGAGCATATTTTGGTTGCACGTTAAATATTTTTGTACTTGATGAGATTCAAAATTTGTTGTATATTCAAGTCCGGCTTTAGTGTAATTTTGGTGATGACCGGAACAGAAATAAAGATATTTTAAAAACTGGCCGTGGCCTCACGATAAAACTTTCTAAAAATGTTTTCTGTTTCATGTATTTTTATTTGATATCTTAGGTATAAGTGTAAAAATAGGGGCTCATACAGTTTACGAGGTTGTAAAATGCATGACTTGCCTCTATTTTCATGTAAACATTCGAAATTTTTTGACAGCAAAGTAGCAACTGTTTCAGATCCAATGCACATGGACAACCCACCAGAGACAATGGCAGGATACTGAAATAGAACGTCACTAAAAAATTCTGTATGGTTAATTTAGATCATGTCCATTTTCAACATAAAACAGTCATTTATTTTGTACAAGCATTTGGCAATATTTACACAATTGTGCCTTTTTGTAAACACGCGTTGCGTGTATTCCACTCAATTGTGTGAGTCATTTTGCTCGCGCATGCTCAGACAAATTTCCCACCTGTTGTTGCAAGCACATTTTTGTTCTTCTTTACCTGAGCCAATAAAAATTTGGAGATTTAGAAGCCTGATTTTCACTGTTCTTTGATAATTAGACATTAATCAGTCATTTACATTTTTGAAAGGTATACACAACTCAAAAGTTCAAAAGAGCTCAACCAGTCAAGTTTGTTTTTGAAACTGTACTGGCAAATACAAATGATAACAAAATGATATATGAACGAGTTTATTATTTGGAAACTACACCGGCAAATTAAAGTTTGAATGGCTGACCTGCTGCAAGAGTTGGTCTGTTACTTTGTGTCGGACTTGGTGACTTCAATGCCATACTCGTTTGGCTCTCCTGGCTTCGCCAACCTGAACACAAACGATATATGAATGAGTTTGTTATTTGGAGACTACACCAGCAAATTAAAGTTTGAATGGCTGACCTGCTGCAAGTGTTGCTCCGCTATTTTGTGTCGGACTTGGTGACTTCAATGCCATCCTTGTTTGCCTCTAAACCAGCAAATTAAAGTTATAGAATGGCTGACCTGCCGCCAGTGTTGGTCTTTTACTTTGCCTTGGCAAGTTCGTAGCTTTCCCCTTTTTACTTTGAGCTTGGCTTCCCCGATCTGAACATAGTTTATGAAAGATATTGAACAAAACAATATATATGAATGAGTTTGTTTTATGGAAACAAAATGGCCAAATTAAAAGGTGTATGCATGTCAACCTTAATATCAGAAAACATTGAACATACTTGTATTTCCTCAAGAGTTGGTGCTGTCAACATTTCCCTGCTTCATTCGCCTCACTTGCAGTATTAATTCTATATTGTTGCCAGAGATTTGCCAGGCGGAAAACGAATTCGTATAATATGAGAGAGCCCAACATATAACTTTTAACAAAGCCATTAAAACAGTTTTAAAAGATTGTAAAGAATTTTAATTGTAACGTTTCGTCTTTAACTTAAGACATCTTCAGACTAGACAGGCCAATTTCGGTTCATCCCAGGATCGTGAACTACTCTAGCACTAATCTCTATGTTCCATCATTGGTTACGAGCTACTGACAGCACTGCATCCACCGTAAGAACCATACTTTTAGATTTCCACAAAGCTTTTGACCTCGTGGACCATAATATTTTAGTTGCCAAACTGTTTAGTATAGGCGTAAAACCCACGGCCGTCAATTGGATAATTGATTTCCTAAGACATAGAAAGCAGACGGTTAAACTAAACAACATCGTTTCCGATTAGCTTGACGTCCCAGCAGGAGTGCCTCAAGGAACTCGTCTTGGTCCCTAGTTGTTTTTAGTACTAATCAATGATCTTAAGCTACCTTACCTATGTGGAAATTCGCCGATGATTGCACAATCTCTGAAGTGATACCACCCTCCAAGCAGAGCTCTCTTCAGCAAGCAGTTGACTATATCGATGCATGGTCTCAAGAAAATCGATTACAATTGAAACCAACTAAGTGTAAAGAAGTACGATCATGTTTCAAGAGAAACCCTCCATCATTCCCTTTAGTCAAACTCGATGATTTTCAGTTAGAAAGAGTTAGCGTGGGCAAAATTCTTTGCGTAAGAATCCGGGACGATTTTAAGTGGAACGACCATATCGGTATTGTCACCGTAAAAGCCGCAAAACGACTGTATCTTTTGAGACAATTAAAAAGAGCCGGGATCTGTCCAAAAGATCTTATCACTTTTTACTGTGGTGCCATCAGATCACTTCTGGAATATTCGTGCCAATTATTTCATCGGAGTCTCCCTAAATATCTGTCAAATGAACTTGAGAGTATCCAAAGGTGCGCTATGCATATCATCCACCCGGACTTGAAATATGCTGACACGCTAAAAGATGCCGGCATTTGCACTCTCTTTGACAGACAAGCCCAACTATCAAGTCATCTTATTGAAGATATTGTTAATAATCCGAATCATAAGGTCAGTGGCCTACTTCCACCGCAAGCACATCATCATAACGATTTAAGGAGCGAACGAAGGTTTAATGTACCTGTTAGTAAGACAGATCGTCTTAAAAAATCTTTTATTATTAGTCATAGCTCAAATATATAAATTTTAACAACAATTAATGTAGGTGATAAATTGACTTACAAGTTACTTTTATTTTTAATTATTCAAAATTGTTGTAATAATGTATAAAACTCAATTGTTGTAAATATTCACATAATTCAGTCTATGACTGCAAGGTGTTTTATTTGAATAAACGAATCTAATTTAAATCTAAAATTACACGAGATGTGAATATATATAAGCTAATTATAATCTATTTACAAGGTGTTATGTTACTAAGGATAATAAGGGATAAGAGGGTGTATGTAAGACAGGACGATACAAATGAGGAAACAAAACAAACAGGCACAAGAAAACGGCAAATTACAGAAGGTTAAGCGGAATAGAGCTACCCTGGACGTTAAGAGTAGGTTTGAGTTTAGATATAAAAAGGCTTTGGTGAATCAATAATTCACAAGTGTCTGAGCAAGAGGAAAGAATTTTGAAGTCGTCAAAGTTGGCAGAGTGCCCTGTAGTATTTAAGTGAGAGAAAATACTAGACATGACTGGACTGGATGACGGCTGGCCTGTTATAGGAGTGAGTCCCAGGTGTTCCGATACTCTGGTGTGTAAATGGCGCATGGTTTGACCCACATACGACACGGAACAGCATCGACACTTAAATAAGTATACAACACCAGATCTCAGGAACGTAGGAACTTTATCCTTGAAAGGAAAGAAAGAAGAGATGCGTTTAGAGGAGCGAAAGACAAATCGAATGTTGAGATGAGGATAAGCAGCATTGCAAAGTCGGTTGATTTGAGTGCGAATTTGAAGAGAGTGTGAACCTGTGAAGGGAAGGCAAAAATAGATAACCTTTTTAGGAACCGTGTGAATAGGAGGTTTGGGTTCGAAGATCTTGTTAAGGAAACGATGAACAAGACGGTCAAACATGTGGGAGGGGAAACCATTCAAGTTAAACAGTTTCCTAATAACTTCAAGCTGAGTATGAAAGTTTTCATAGCTAGAACAGAGGTTGAAAATTCTGTAAAGTAGGCAAGAGATTAAAGAGCATTTGTATGCAAGAGGAATGAAGCTGTGGAAGTTAGTGAAAAAACCCGTGAAAGTTGGTTTACGATAAACAGAAGTGGAAAATTTACCGTTTGAGCGAGTTATATCGACATCGAGAAAAGGTAGTTTACCGTCTTTTTCCAGTTCGGATGTAAAAGAAATGTTTGGGTGTTGGCGGTTAAGATAGTTAAGAAAGAGAGGTACGTGGTCCAAGGATCTAAAAAGAAGAAAACAGTCATCAACATAACGTCGATACAGAATAGGTTTGAAAATAGACGGACAGTTGTAAAGCCATGAATTTCTCTTGGAAATTTTTCATCATGATTTCTTCATGGAATTTTTCATCGTTTCCTTAACAAGATCTTCGAACCCAAACCTCCTATTCACACGGTTCCTAAAAAGGTTATCTATTTTTGCCTTCCCTTCACAGGTTCACACTCTCTTCAAATTCGCACTCAAATCAACCGACTTTGCAATGCTGCTTATCCTCATCTAAACATTCGATTTGTCTTTCGCTCCTCTAAACGCATCTATTCTTTCTTTCCTTTCAAGGATAAAGTTCCTACATTCCTGAGATCTGGTGTTGTATATTTATTTAAGTGTCGATGCTGTTCCGCGTCGTATGTGGGTCAAACCATGCGCCATTTACATACCAGAGTATCGGAACACCTGGGACTCACGCCTATAACAGGCCAGCCGTCATCCAGTCCAGTCATGTCTAGTATTTTCTTTCACTTAAATACTACAGGGCACTCTGCCAACTTTGACGACTTCAAAATTCTTTCCTCTTGCTCAGACACTTGTGAATTATTGATTCATGAAAGCCTTTTTATATCTAAACTCAAACCTACTCTTAACGTCCAGGGTAGCTCTATTCCACTTAACCTTCTGTAATTTGCTGTTTTCTTGTGTCTGTTTTGTTTCCTCATTTGTATCGTCCTGTCTTACATACACCCTCTTATCCTTTATTATCTTTAGTAACATAACACCTTGTAAATAGATTATAATTAGCTTATATATATTCACATCTCGTGTAATTTTATCTAGTCTGAAGATGTCTTAAGTTAAAGACGAAAACGTTACAATTAAAATTCTTTACAATCTTTTAAAACTGTTTTAATGGCTTTGCTAAAAGTTATATGTTGGGCTCATATTTATTATACGAAGTATTAATTCTGTATAAAACAGCGTTAATAAAACATTTCAAAATATATAGAAGTTTTTTATTTGATACCAACCAGAAAATAGGGATTGCGGAATATATTCTCTTTTCGGTATACACATGGTGACATCAAGCTGCTTTCTGGATTGCTTTCTGGTGAGTTTAATTGAGGACTAGGAAAATTTAGGCAGCTGAAAAAGAAAAAAAGATAAATGTGACCGATGCCAATGCCAGATATTTAAATATTCATTTATAAGCCACATATAAAATAAAGTTATATTGTAAAACTTACTCATGTTTGCATTCATTTTCAGACATTTCTTCCGCTATAACGAATCATAAGCCTATTGAAGGGGAGATGGCTGTGAAACTCAT